CTGACCGGAGGCCGTATTTCTACACCACCATTGCATGATACAAATGGTGTACTATTACGTGTAGGTGTGTCTTTACTTATGGTATGCATGATGGGTGATCTATTGTCTTATACTGTTTTCCGACTTGAGCTCACTTTCGGGGGGGGTTTTTTCTTCTCAAAGTTCGTACCATAAGTCCCACAGTGTTTTACCAATAGCAACAGACGGCAATCGTTGTATAAATCGTTCAAGTCGGTGTTGTCGTGGTCCGAGCACCCATTTGAGCGGTACTTCTACGTTCGAGTACAACTCACAGTCCACGATCGCAATACGTCGTGCTGGGTGGTTTCCACGCTTACAAGCAAGTTGCGGACGTCAGAGAACTTAGAAGACACCCGAACGCTCGTCATTTGTCGTTGCTGTCCGGACACAGACGACGAGTTTTGCAACTATTCGGTGATTTTTGTGTCCACTTGAACCAGACTTGCGTTGTTTTTTTTGTACTCGTATATGTTCGAGTGTACACGACACAGAGATCGTTCGAGTACAACTCGCAGTTTACGAACGATTTTTAATGGTAATGCGATTTGTAAACAGCAGCGTGGACCACCCTGCACGACGTCCGCGACTCGCTTGTACTAACGGTCCAGACTCGAACGGTATAACCGTTCGAGTGTGCACATTCGGGACCTACTTTGAACAAACAGAGAAGTTTTGGTACAGCACATATACAGGGCACTACCTCTAGTTCACATCTCAGGTCATACATTAACCTGTGGGCAACCTGTGGGGTACATGTACCTATACCTTAAAGGGATATGTGCCTATACCTGTGGGACACATGTACCTATACCTTAAAGAGATATGTGGACACATGTACCTATACCTTAAAGGGATATCTATACCTGTGGGACACATGTACCTATACCTTAAAGGGATATGTTACCTGTGGGACACATGTACCTATACCTTAATGGGATAAAGACCAATATTTTTCGTCGTCTGAAAGAACATGACGGTTTATTCAACAAACCAAAGCTCCATATTTACACAGACAACTCTACCGTTTCACTACAAAAATCAAACTGAACTGGTATCAACCTGTTTGGCTCTGTGATAGTTGATCTGAAGGATATTTTACTAGACCGGGCAAAAGAGTCGGTGAAACACAATTTAAGCCATGAAATTAAGCTCTTGAAACTCTGCATAAACACGGCCGAAGAGTGCAATGTGGAGTTCACCGACCGACTTGCTCGTTCAAACGCAAGCGCGTGCACAACTCGACAGAGTGCAACATCATACGTTGCTCGTTGAAGCGAATGGGCGCACCAAGGTCGCTGAAGACCAGCTGCGTGAGCTCCAAGGAAACTTCATGAAGATGTGCGTTCCAGCACGTGTGCGGAAACGACTCCGCGAGGATGGATCGACCTGATTGATCAACAAAAAAATATAATAAAATTAGCAAAAAATAAATTTGACGGTCTCGAATAATAATTTTTTATTTTTGAAATTACTCCATATGTACGGGAATCTACCTGCTAGTGTACTGCTACGCTTGGGTGTGGTTTTACTTATTGTTTGCATTGTAGCGTCGTTACGACAAATATAGTGTTTTCTAACTGGCGTTTGATTTCGCTTTTTTTTGCGTTAACGGATTAAAAGCGTAGACTGTAAACGTTTGGATTAGTAAATGGTCGACGGGGTGCTTTACCATTGCCTCAAGCGTAGGGTAAATGGTAGTACGATTTGTAAACCACCCTGACGTAACAAAGCGACGAGGTACTTTACCATTGCCTCTACGCTTCAAGCGTAGGGTAAATGGTAGTACGATTTGTAAACCACCCTGACGTAACAAAGCGACGGGGTGCTTTACCATTGCCTCTACGCAAGCGTAGGGTAAATGGTAGTACGATTTGTAAACCACCCTGACGTAACAAAGCAAAGGGGTGCTTTACCATTGCCCAAGCGTAGGGTAAATGGTAGTACGATTCATAAATCTCCCTGATGTATCAACCTGACTTGATACTACCAGACAGGATGCTTTAGTACAAAAAGTGCCGCGTGCATTGCATACACCAAAACGTCAATGCGACCGGCGACATCACTGAGTCGCAACGTAGTACTGTGGGCGGTTGAAGTGATACGTGTCCAGTGAACTGGATACGTGACGTACGCCACCGTTCGAGTCTACAGTAGTGATGCGAATTAGGTCCCAAAACGTCTCTTCTAGAAACACTCGAACGGTATCACCGTTCGAGTTACCGTTCGAGTCTGGTCTGTTGGTTCAAAGTAGGCCCCGAAACGTCTCTGCTGTACACACTCGAATGGTGATGTCGTTCGAGTTACCGTTCAAGTCTGGTCTGTTGGTACAAGCAAGTTGCGGACGTCAGAGCACCAAGAAAACGCCCGAACGTTCGTCGCGCAGGGTGGTTTCCAAGCTGCTGTTTACAAATCGCTCTACGCTTGCAACGGGCGTGTCCAAGTCCCACGGTGTTTCGTTCAGGTTATGACTCGAACGGTGATACTTATTCGCCAAAAAATTCACGCGACCGGTGACGAGGTATCCCGCATCGTCGTTCACACAAACTGCGGGCGGCGTACAGTGAAACAATATTCACGGCACATTAGCGAGTATACTATACGTGCAGCACGGGTGGATGCGTAGTAACATATACATGACGTACGCTGCCAGCACTAAACATTTTCGCAGGATACCTTGGAGCTTGGTTTTCTGCAATAGTGGTTCGAATTAGGTAAACACAAAATAGTGTCCAAAGACTCAAACTCACAGAGCCCGAGCGAAAAAAAAAATTGAAAAAAAAGGCGACTTTACATTTGGCCTGAAATAAAGGCATTTTTCGATTTGGCATGAAAAAAAAGGCGATTTGACATTTGGCATAAAAAAAATGGTAAATATGGCACTAAATAAAGAGTATTTGCGGAATTGAGCAGCTGCCATGTCTGTGGCTGTTGTACTGTCATGGTCAAGGAGAGGAAGGAGATCGGATGTGTACTCGGTGGCGGTGACGATGTATAGATCGGTGTTTTTAGCGTGCCACGGTCCTCTGCCCCTGGTCTTCAAACTGTAGAACAGAATCGTTGTCCATATTATCGCCCATAACCAATTGGAACTAAAAAAACTGTGAACATAATTGATTTGAGTTTATTATTGAATATAATTGTATATATGTACGATAATAAAGTATAAACTGGGTAAAAATTGTGGGCATAATAATTGAGCACATATAAATGTACGCCGAAAACCCTAGTTTAGGGTTTAAACCCAGAGGGTCAGGTTTAACCTGTCCCGATAGAACGGAGTTTCTTCATACTTTTTTATTTGTTTTTTACCCCTCCCCCGCCCCCTCCCTAGAAAAATATAACACGTGTGACTTGTATGGAAACTAAAAATAAAAATAAAGTTCAAAATAGACCACTTGAGTTCGATAATTTGAGATTGTATATATAGCCCATATTTTGAGTTGTTTACAGTATTGACCTTACTCTACAGGATTTCATTTCTATAGTAACCGTCTGTATCTTGTTCTTTCCGAACTAGACACATTATTCAGACTCGATGACGAGGCTGATGCTTATGCATGCAATTGGATGCGGATGTTCTCACTCACGTTAGTGTACGGGTTCATCATTGATGATAATCACCATGCAGGGCCTCACTGAGAGTCCACCCTTAAAAGTTTTCTAAATATATTAATAAATATGTATTGAAATCAGAGATAGAGAACGATTGATACTGATACGACTTATGATAGTATTAGATTATAAGATCTCTAGTCTACCTCGAAGAAATGCACTAGCCTAATTGTGGCTACACTTGCTTGTTTAACTGTCAATTGCGCGAGACTTGCGCTGACGAGTTTCAATTGTTGCCATTTAAAAGTAACAATTTCTCTCTGATGCCATCTTAGACATTCGCTCAACACCTTATTATATTTATATATATATATATATATATATATATATATATATATCTATATATATATCTATATATATATCTCTCTATATATCTATATATATATC